GGGGGGGGGTGGAGACGGCGGAGGTGGCTCCAGGCAAACAGCCCTAAGTGTGACCTGCAAGGTGGGCAGCTGGGGGAAGGTGGCCCCAGCGGGAAGATGGGGGGAGCTAGGCCTGGGACGTCTGGAGGGAAGTCACAGCACACTGAGGGCAATGCAGGGGATGCTTTCTGGTACTCTCCATCTGGTGTAGGCTCGGCTCCCTCTGTTGAATCTGGATTTGACTTCAGACTTACTCTAACAACAGAATATCGGCTCAACAATCAGGGGTGTAGCTCAGTGGTACACAGGCCTAGTGTATAAAAGGCCCTGGGTTCCATCCCCAGTAGTATCCAGTTAGTTAGTTAGTTAGTTAGTTTCCTTTTACGACAGGGTTTCTCTGTGTAGCCCTGGCTGTCCTGGAACTGGCTCTGTAGATCAGGCTAGCCTCAAACTCAGAGATGTGCCTGCCTCTGCCTCCCAAGTGTTGGGATTAAAGGTGTATGCCACCACACTGGGCACTATCCAATTTTTTGAGGTGGGTAAGGCCAATGCATGCCTTGATCCCAACACTGGAGAAGCAGAGGCAGGAGGACTGTGAATTTGAGGCTAGCCTGGGCTACATGATGAATTCCAGGCTAGCCTCAGTTACAGAGCAAAACCTTGTCTTAAAAAGCCACTGGGTGGTGGTGGCACACTCCTTTAATCCCAGCACTCAGGAGGCAGAAGCAGGTGGATCTCTATGAGTTCAAGGCCAGTCTGGTCTACAGAGTTCCAGGACAGCCAGGACTACACAGAGAAACCCTGTCTCCAAAAAACAAATAAACAAACAAGCCAAAGGCTGGGGATGTGAGTTATGGGAGAGCATTTGCCTAGCAGACACACAGTCCTGGGTTCCATCTGAAGTACTATATTAAAAAAAAAAAATCTCACCAGGTGTGGGATTACAAGCCTATAACCCCAGTACTTGATAAGCAGAGGCAGGAGGATTGCTCAAAGTTCAAGGCTAGCCTGGTCTACACAGTGAGTTTTAGACCAATCAGTGCTACAAAGACCCTGTCTCAAGAAACAATGAAAAAAATCCAACTGTAAAATGACCTTACCACCAAAAGAACCTGAGCTGAGTCCAGACCAGAGGAAAATGACTCCGTTTAAATAAGTGCAAAGAAAAAAGGCTCTTAATTAGAACCGCCGAGTTCTATTGTGATTTAAGTGAAGAACATGGGGTGGAGGGTTGGGAGTCAAAGCTGGCCCTCAGAGAACTGAACTCCGCACAAAGGTGATGGGCACTCACGGATCTGGGGCCGCAGCTCCTGCGCCAGCTGAGGGTTCTGGTCCAGCAGCCCCAGGCTCTGATTCATCCGCTCTTCAATCACCTGGAGGTGCGTCTGTACCTGTGGGAGTGTGGAGGGTGAGGTGGGCGGTGCCCGGCTGGAGAAGAGCAGGCCAAAAGAGGGGTTCCACGGGAGCCAAGGAAATAGAACTGTAGACTAGACAGGAAGTGTGGCACAAGGGTCAGACACCCAGCCACGGGAGGCGGGGTGTGTGTGTGTGTGTGTGTGTGTCCGAGGAAGGAGAGCAGGATCCAGAGAGAAGGAAGAGATGTGTAAGAGCAGAAGCTCCAGGCTTGGAAAAGGGGTAGCCCCAGGAAAGCAGGGCACTGAAGGCAAGATGAGGGAAGGATGCAAAAAGTATGGCGTAGAGCGCTTGGGAGGCAAAGGGTTCGAGGCCACAGCGGGCTCCAGGCCAGACAGACAGGCTACACAGTGAGACTCTCTCCAAACACAAAGAGGAATGTGGTACAGAGGGAGGAAGCAGGGCTGGAGGAACAGATGTGTGGCTGTCGGGGAACAGGAATGGGTACAGAGGGTAATGGCTCAAGGTAAGACATTCAGGAGCACCGAGGAGAGTGTGGACCAGCAGAGAATGTCCAAGAAGCCAGTTAGAACTTCAGGGCACAGAGTGCGGGTTCTGGGGAAACAGTGGGCAAGAGAGGAAGACTGAGCGACAGGCTGCAGGCTCAAGGAAAAGGATTCTGGGAAAGGAAGTAGAGTCCAAGGGACAGGAAGCAGGAGTCCAAGGGACAGGAAGTAGGAATCCCGGGGGGCAAGAAGGGAGTCAAAAACACAGTATAAGTGGTGTGTGTGTGTGTGTGGTGTGTGTGTGTGTGTGTGTGTGTGTGTGTGTGTATGTGTGTGTGTGTTGGGGGCAGTGTTCCAGCATCAAGAAGTTGGGATTCGAGGGATAGGAATGAAGGGACTGGAAAGGGTTTGGGGACACAAAAGGGAAGTTCTAGGCGTAGTGAGGTGTTCTAAACTAAAAGTGAGTCCAGAGGAAAATCTGGGGCCTGTGGAGACCGCTCAGCAGTTAAGAGGACTCAGGTTTAATTCCGACCACCCACACGGTGGCTCACAACTTTCTGTAACTCCAGTTCCAGGAGACTTGGCACCGTCTCTGGCCTCCCCAGAGACAGGCACGAATGTGGAAAACAAACATACATGCAAGCAAAACACTCACACACATGACTTTTTTTAAGAGAGAGAAGAGTCTGGGAGATGAGTCTGGGCTAGCAGGGCCTCTGGGAACCGGAAGCACGTGTGTACCTGAAAGCGCATCTGCTGGGCCTTCTCGGGATCCACAGCGGCCACGTGCTGGTAGTGCCTCAGAGTGTGCCTCTGTTCCTTCTGCTCTGCGCGCAGGTAGCGCCTCAGGGCCGCCAGGACTCGCTCAGCCTGTGGGAGGGACCAGGGCTGTCTGGGCCGATCCCAGCTCTTGTCATCGGCTTGCCCTGAGCCCTCCTTCCATACCTGAGGTGGGTCGCCCTGCAGCGCGGCCAGGAAACCTTCCAGAGCAGCTCGCCGCTGGTCGTTGATCAGCGCGACGACTCTGGTGGCGTGGGTCTCCACCAGGCGCTGCCGCTCACCGGACACTTGCTCCTCCAGGGTCTGCAGAATGGACTGGAAGTGCTAGTGAGGGGTGAAAAGGTAGGGGAGAGAGGGGGCTGGGGTAAATGTGAGTCGAGGGCAAGCAGGGTGCGCCTCAGTGGGTCTCCTTCCTCCCCGCGCCCATCTGGGGCGGGAGGCTCGATGCAAGGATGGGATGCAGGATCAAGCGGAGTTGGGGCGCGGCTGGCCCACGGGAACCGGTTTGAGGGTGTAGGCTGTAAGATTAGGTGGGAACGATCTGAAAACAGAACCGGTCAACTTAAGGTGTAAGGGAAGCTTCGGGCCGCTCCGAAGGAGAAGACAGGCTGGGCCTCCACAAGGAGGATGGCCGAGGCCCGGGACTGGAGGCTGACCTACAGGAGACAGGCTGGGGCTCCACAAGGCGGATGGCCGAGGCCCGGGACTGGAGGCTGACCT